GTGAATGTGGCAAGATTCCATACTGATGTTACACCTCATTCAGCAGAGAAATTGTAATGGGGAAAACACCTTTGCCTGTAATGCATGAGGGAAAATCTTCAGCCACAACTCCAATCTCACTGAACATGAGCAATGTTCACACTGGAAACCTTCTGTGTATAATGAATGTTGGAAAGCCATACAGAAGCAGTATGGCATTAAACATTAGAAAACACATACTGGACAGAAGCTTTTTTTTAAAAAAAATATTTATTTATTTATTTATGTGTGTGTGTGTGGGGGCCAGCTCAGCCCACCAGGGGGCGCAGCCGGCTGGCATGTGGTGCCGGGGGATCGAACCGTGGTCCCTGTACTTTGCCAAGCTTGTTCCAAGTAGGTGCTTTAGACCACTGAGCCATCTCTCCAGCCCCAACAGAAGCTTTTTGATGATAATAATTGTGGAAAATCCTGTAGCCAGAAGGAAAACCTCTTAACCTATGAGAAAATTCACATTGGAGAAAAACCTTTGGAGAGCAAAGATTGTGTGAAAGCTTTCATTCAGAATTCAAACCTCAGGGCTGAGGAGATAGCTCAGTGGCATAAGCCTCTGTCTGGCAAGTTGTGGGTGTCTCCTGGCAGATACTAGTGGACTTGCACAGGAGAGAAACCCTTCATAGTTAAACAATGTGGGAAAACTTTTAGTGGTAAATCAAATCTCACTGAGAAAATTCATATTAAATGTAATGAATGTGGAACAGCTTTTGGCCAGAAGAAGTATCTCATAAAGCAGCAAGTCATTCACAGTGGAGAGAGAACCTGTGAATGCAGTGAATATAGAAAAGCCTTCCCTCAACAAGCATCACATTGCATATCTGAAGATTCATTCAGGTAATAAAGTTTGTTAAAGCAATGTATATGAAAAGTCTTCCTTCAGAGTTCATCTTTCACTATGCACAAGGGAAGCCATTCAGGTGAGGAGTCATCCTTGCAGTAAATGTGGGAAAACCTTCCACCATTCTCAAGCCTAGCCCTGCACTTGAGAATGCACACAGGAAAGAAGTGATGGAGTGGATGCAGGACAGCATTTAGCCAGAAGTCCCCATACGTTAGACATCAGAAAAGTCATGCTCATTAAAAAAACTGGGGATATCTTCAAAATGGGAAAACATGCACCAGTAATTTGCATCTCACAGTACAGGAGAAATATTTTGAAGCAAAGCTCTATAAGTGAGGTAAACTGTAACAAATAATAAAACTTAGAGGACACCAACAGTTCACACTGAAGAAAAAGACATTTGTATGATGCAAATGCTATACACAACCAAAAAACAAAACAAAAGAACTGCAGTAGAAGTAACACTGTACTTTTATGTGCATTCCCTAAAATTTGGAACAGAAAATAGAGGCCTGTTACTACCCTCAATATAAATTTGGAGATCTTCACTATATAAGGAAAAAATATAACAGCTGACAAGCATGAAGTCATGAGTTTGATTTCTGGTATCCCCACCACCAATAAAAAGAAAAAAAAAGGTTTAAGTGTTAGAAAGAAAGAAACAAAAACACGCATGATCAAGGGCTGGCCTGATAGCTCAGCAGATTAAAGCCCCTGCTTAGGCAGACACAGCGGCTGGGTTTTTTTTTTTTTTTTTTTAAAACATTTTTTTTTTTTTTTGTGTGTGTGTGTGTGTGTGTGTGTGTGTGTGTGTGTGTGTGTGTGTTGCCAGCTCAGCCCACCAGGGGGCGGGGCTGGCTGGCATGTGGTGCTGGGGGATCGAACCGCGGTCCCTGTGCTTTGTCAAGCTTGTTCCAAGTAGGTGCTTTAGACCACTGAGCCATCTCGCCAGCCCAGCGGCTGGGGTTTGATCCCCAGTGTGCTGTGCCAGCCTCACCCTTGGGGTGTGCTGAGCTGGCGATAGAGACAGGGCATGGTGGTGGGCACCTGTAATCCCAGCACTTGGGAGACTAAAAAGGAGAATCACTGTGAGTCTGATCTACGAAGTGAGATCCTGTAGACCATCTTAAATACAGAAAAACAAAACAAAACATGTATGATCACCTACAGATAATAAGGCTTTGTGATGTTGACTCAGCAGAGCAGAAGGGACTGCTGAAAGAGACCTAATGCACTTTTTCAAATTTGAAATATTAAAGAGATGGCATTCGAAAAGCCGATGAACTAAAAATGGTTATGACCTTGGGAGTAGGAAAACATTGTTTGTGACAAATGAAAAAATACGTATGAGTTTCCTTGTATGCTCAGGAAATACCAGGAACTCCTCTATGGCTTCATTTGTAGTAGCCAGATATTGGAAACAATTTAAATGTCCATCTGGAACAAAATGGAAAGTTCTTATGATGGAATACTATACATACATCTATAAAAATGCAATAAGTAAGAATCATATGTTAATGGGAATATCTAAAAAATGTGGAGAGGGAAAAAAACACTGCAGAATGATGTATATAATACAATAATTGTAAATTTGAATTATAAAAGCTTTCTTGATGAAGTTCAGTACTTTAGATTGCTAATGGATACACATACAAATGTAAATGTTTTTGAAATTCATTGGAAGGATACAGGCCAAACTCTTGATGGTATCCTGGGAAGAGGGCAGGAGGGAAGGCAGGAGTATGGGAAGTGGGGAGGGGAAGGGCTTCAGCTTTTTATATTAATATCCCTTTCTCTTAAACACTGTGAGTAAATATATGAATTCTGGATTGTGGTATATGGGTATCTTGTCTTATTTTTTGTATTTTAAAATTTCACCAAGTTTAAAGAAACTTTAAAAGCACCTGTAGGAGTCATGGTATAATGGATTAATTTCAAATCAAAGACTAAACATTTCATAAAAATTATTTCTAAAATTTTATCAACAACAAGTAGATGGACTTACTCTCTATGTAATGAAACTATTGTATTAACATTAGCAATGTCATGAAAAATAAACATTCACTGTATTTTTAGATCATATCTCATTTAAAACAATGAATGATGGCTGAGGAACATTTGATAGTATTAGTGTATATTATTCTTAAACTTTTTATTTTTGTAGGTCTAAATGTAATATATGTGAAACATGACATTGATTCTGTTCATTGACTTTTATGGACACTCAACATTAGAATTATAAATAGTTCAATTTTATGAATATATTTTACTTAAATTTTCAATACTTAATGAAATACTCAGCACTTTCATAGAAACTGTCTCTCCTGTTGCCTCCCCTGGAAGAAAAGAATGCAGCATGACCATGTTTTAGCAGCCCTTGTTTGAAATTAAGGGGTTCCAGCCCCACTTCACTCCCTTTCATTCCCACTGTCTTTGTTTATGAATACTTTGTCTTTCTTCCTATCTTAGGGGTGAGGTGGGAGTAAGAAAGTAGAACTAAGCTCTTGATGGGGGTTGAGGCCTTGTGTGTGTGCTTTATGTGCCAAAGGTTTTTTCTTGTTTTTTCTTTTTCTTTTCTTTTTGTGGAACCAGGGATTGAACTCAGGTTCTTTCGCTTGCCAGGCTTATTCCACTGAACTATCTCCGCGGCCCCTCTTTTCTTGTTTTTGAGGCAGGCTTTCACTATGTATGTCTGGCTGTGCTCAAACTCATCAGCACTTGGGAGGCTGAGGCAAGAGGATCACCAGAAGTTCGGGCCAGCCTGAAGTACACAGCAAGACCCTGTCTAAAACAAAAACAAACAAATGGACAAACAGAAACCCTATCTCCTCAAACGCTATTCTTAGAGAGCCGCTAGTAAGCCCCTCATGGGGGTTTGTCTCAAATCTATATTTCTACAGTCTGCCCTGTGACCTTAGCTAGAGCTCATCATCTTCCAAAGCCCCTCCCTTCAAGATCATGCTCCGATTAAGTCTCCATACTCTTAATACCACTGACACATAACTCTGGGGATTGGGTTTCCAACACATGAGCTCCGGGGGACACAAACCATTGCAGTTGTTGAGGATTAAATAAGATAATCAATGGGAGGTAGATTTTACAGGAAGTTAGGCATGGAGCAATCATGAGTTTGGGCCCACTGCCCCCGACGAGGTGTAGCCACTCTGTGAATGAAGTCATGCCCCGTAGCAGGGCTGTGAGGGCTTCTGCTGAGGTAAGGTGTGTGAAGCTGTTTGGTAGGGCTGTGCTCAAATGTGAAGGACTTTCTGTGCTCCAGTTGGCCCTCCAATGAAGGCTGAATAAGTACTGAACTGGCCAAACAGGGAGGCCAAGGAGAGGAATGTGAATCTCAGGAACAGCAGCAAAAAAGCTGTTAGAAGTTTCTACTGCTGACTAGAAAGCCAGAGCTCCAAGAAACAGCTCACACCCACAGGAGGGAGGTGAGGGACAGGTAGTGCATGGGGACAGGGGTATGAGGAGAGGGCAAAGGAGCTCACTGCTGTCAAACTCAGGAGGGCACGGCAGGGCCTTTCCTGGTGACAGGCAAGGGAGCTTCTCAAGTCCTGGCTCCTGTGTCTCCCTCTGTGACCCTGAATTCCTTGTAATCCACAAAGCACAGTTCCTGGCCTTGAGCCAAAGCAATGCTGGTTTCCAATGCCCCCATCTGGCAGCTACTGGGCAGTCAAGTATGCTCAGGATTGGAGTCCAGAGCAAAAGGACAGGGGCTTGCTGTCCCCTGATGGAGGCTACTTGAGGCTATCTGTCTCACTAGCCCTCCCCCTCCTGCTTTGTACCCTCCACTTCCCCTTGATCAGCCTGAACCAGGATACGATGCCAGGCCCATGGCTTTGCTGGTCCTGGGCTCTACTCAGAGGCTCACGAGTGGCCTTTCCTTGGGAGCACAGCCCACAGGATGTTCCAGGAAATGTTCCCACAGATTAGGGCCTCCTGGGGTGGACAGCAGCGGCAGGTGGCAGGAACAGGGCAGGGGAGGGAGCAAAGCCCAGGCAGCTCTTGGGAGGAGCCCAAGGCCAGAGGCTTTCTTTTTTGGGCCCGGCCTTCAGAGTGAGGTCTGTGGTTCCCCAAGGTCCCTGCCCCATGTTCGCCCCTCCACCGCACCACCTGGTGCTGCTTAGCTCTCTTTATTGACCAACTGTGGTGGTAATTACAGTACATCATTAGAGTAGGGAGAGAAAAGCAGGGCCAAATGAGGAGAGATAAAGATGCCACTTGTGAGTTCGGAAGAGCATGAGCTGGCTCGGCAGTATAAGCCTGTAATACTGGCACTAAGAGAGGCTGAAGCAGAAGGGGTGCAAGTTCAAGTCCCAACTGGGCGACTTAGATGACCTCTCAACAGACAAAGTAAAAGTGGATGAGTTGAGCATTCAGTATGAAGGCCTCAGGGGAGAGGAAGGGAGGGGGAAATTCCAGCAAGAAGCAATATATGAGACTTAAAACAGGCATTAAAGCATCTTAAATTAACACTTTTATAGGGCAAACCTGGTTGAAGATTCGAGCCACTTCATCTGTTGTCAGGCTGCAAGGGTGGAGCAGTTCAGTAATTAGCAGAAGACAGCTGACTTCTTGCAAGGGGAGGAGCAAGAAGGCGGCAAGTGTGGGCAGTTGACAGTGCAGATGGTGGGAGGGAAGGAGAAGCCAGAGTTCCGCCAACCTTTTCATACTCCAGGACTTGTTTTTGGGTGAGTTTAGGAGTAAACGAGGCAGGCCAGCAATATATTAAAATATGGTTTGGCTAAAACTTCTATCAGCATTGGCCTTCCCCTTGGGGTGGGCACCCCCGACACAGCTGGCTCCTTGACGTCACAGGTCGTGCACGTGAGGAGCTGGCCTCCTCTCTGCGTCCGCATTCTGGAGGAACTCAAAGATGAACTTCACCTGAGTCTCGTAGGCGTGGACTGAGATCTTCTCGTTGACTCCGTGAATGCTGAGGCACAGAGAGATGCATTAGGGGGAGTGGAGGAGGGCCAAGAGCTATGGCATGGGTGTTATGCAGAGCAGACTCCTGACCCTCTCCCCGTGTCTCCTGCTGACCACTGGCCTTTGATCCTCCGGGGCAGCAAATAGGCAAAATGGGAGCAGCCATTTTGGAGATGTTTTGTGATTTGTTGGTTATCTCTTCAGGGTCCTTGCTCTTGGCGATTACAGCAAGAGCAGAGTGACTCTACGCCAGGGGAATGGGGAGCCTTCTGCTCCAAAGTCCATTAATAATTTCCCTTCTGGGAGAGCCACTTCCTAATTCTCTTTCTGTTAGGAAGAGGCCCCATTTAGACTTCCCTCTGAGCCAGTTGTTCAGCCCTTGGCTCCCTAAAGTTAAGCAAGGGCAGGGAGGACAACCGCCCAGGGCACTTGTTCTGTCCTTTCCTCAACCTAGGCCTTGCTTCTGATCCCATCCCCACCAACCTGCCTTCCCACACCACAACAAATCAAACTACATTTATAACCTCAAAGATGACAGGAGATAAGAGCAGCTGCTTGCCTCTCTGTCCAGTTTGAAAAACAAGAACAAAAGCACTACAGTTATCCTTAAGTTCATATTCAAATATTTTCTTTCTCTTACACAACTGACCTCTCACAGGCCTGCCGTGCCAGCCCCGCCCCCGGGATGTGCTGAGACAGCAGTTGACACTGGGCATGGTGGCACACGCCTGTAATTCCAGCTCTTGGGAGGCTGTAAACAGGCGGATCACCATGAGTCTGATCTATGTAGTGAGACCCTGAACACCCTGTAGACCCTTCCCTAAAATGAACAAAACAAAACAACTGACCTCTGATGGGGAAATCAGGTCTAGGTATGACAAATAGCAGAAAGGTAAATGGAAATTATCTTCGAAGACCTGGGACTCAGATTTGCTGAAGAATCCACAAGATAGAAAACCACAGCTAAAATCGGTGCTCGCATCTAGGATTTCCATGTTTCTTCAGAGAAGTCACAGCACATGCTTACTTCTGACCTCAGTGTGTATACATTTTAGAATGCTGAGGAGTCTTATTTCATATAGAGAAAATGAGATTCTGGGAGAAACCACTCTCCCATAAGCTGGAAGCACACTCAAGGTCCTAATTCCACAAGGTTTTCACCAATCATTTGATTATGTCCGTCCTTGTGAAAGAGGTTTCTATACATTCTGGGGAATGGTAAGCCTCCTGCCACAGGGGCAGTTGGCTTCCACAGTGTGTCCATGTTAGTCTGCCAGCCCCCTACTTTGCTCCATTCCATGGACTGTTGTGGTGGGAAGGGACAGGTCACATGCGTCTCCTGTTTCCCCTGATGCTCGGAGCAGGTCCACTCACCTACGGAAGTCTGAAGGCTGCAAGAAGACAGGGTTGAACAGATAGATGCCGGTGGTGAGGTTCCTGTAGTGTCGGCTGTCTGTATTGCCAATACAAGTTCCTAGGGAGGGAAGATAAAAAGGGTTTTATGTGAGCAACCAAGCCAAGGCAGTGTCAGGAGGTGGGGTGGCTGGAAGATTAGGACCCTGGGTCTCTATAGGGCAACTGCCTAGGGCCTTCTTAGGAGACTATGGCTGTGCCATTTTTGTCCTCTGAGCTATCCTTTCTTAAAATCTCGCAAAAACTTGATTTAGACAGGGTCATGGAATCAAAAGCATTGGTGAGATATTCCCAGAAAGATCCAAACCTAGGTTTCCTTTCTCTATGATGGCCGAGGAGGACAATACATTCCTTTCATTTCCATTATCAGGGCCATTTGCTATTTTAGAAACCTAGTTTCTAAATTTAGTCTAGAGATAACTTTGTTATCACCTGACCTTTATTTGCTATCTCTCTTGGTCATAAATAAACACCATCTAGGTGCAGGCCTCTTCAAGTGGAATATAACTTCCTGTTATTCTCATCCTGAGGGGCGACGACTCCATTCTAGAGTCAAACTTCAGGTGTGGGAAGTACCAAGTTCTCTCTTTGCAGTCTCCTACTCTGTCTTGGGCAGAGTAGGGTACTCAGGTGGGACTGGGATTTGTCTCTGAGAGGTGTGCTCTTTGGGAAAAGATACCACAGAGTGGGAAGACAAGTGCCACAGAATGATTTGAAGTGGTAATTTGTGTTTTGTTATATTTTTCTCTTCTGGCTTCAAATGAGTAGTCAGCCCTTTTACAGTTCTGTGTTTGAGATTTCTGCCAATCTTTTTTCCTGTCACAACTCAATCCCACTGATGGGGATTATGGTAAGTGCCCTGGATTTGTGTTTCTCTGTCTGTCTCTCTCTCTCTCTGTCTCCCTCTGTCTCTTTTTCCTTTTTGAGACATTTTGCTGTGGAATTCAGGCTGCCCTTGAACTCACTTCATAGCCCAGGATGGCCTCAAACTCACAGTGATCCTGACCTCAACGACTCTGCCACAGGCTTCCAGTACTGGGATTACAAGTGTGCCTGGTGGGACTGAGTCTTTGAGGACCAGGAGAAGAGGGCTTGGGACTATGAGGGCCAGGGTTTCTGGATATCTGGAGAAACCCATGATTAAATCCAGATAAAAGGACATCGGCCTTCATAGTAGAACTTCTCTTTACTACTTCATGGACCAAGAGTTCTCAAACCATGGTTAGCCATCACCTGTGTCAGAATCCCCTGTGCATATGTCAAAAGGTAGACCGCAAGGTCCCAGCCACATGTGGCTGACTTGAATCTTTGAAAATGGATCCAGGTGGTCTGCATTTTAAGAAGCTCCCTGGGCAATCCTTGTCCACTTTTGGTTGGACAACCACTGTCATAGATTTGGATAGTTATGATGAAGACTGGGGTGGAGGCCCAGAAGGAGTTGCTGGAATTGGAAAAGGCTAGAGGAGTGAAAGAGGTTCTTGCAAATGTTATAGGCCAGGACACTTTTCTGGGTTAATGTGCTGAGTCCTGCTGCTGAATCGTTATCCTAGAGAAAATCAGAATCAGAACCTGGGCGTAGGGCAGATCATGGCTGCCTCTGTGGCTCCTCCAGAGGAAAAGGGATCCTGTCTAGGTCAGGGGGTACAGGTCCTTGTTGGATGAGGTTAAGCAAGGATCCAGGCTTAACCTACTGAATTTATTGTTTCTGCTTCTTTCCTGTTTGTTTTCTCACTTCCACCCTGACAGGAAAATATAGTTCTAGACCCATCAGCAGAGGAAGGAGCCAGCTGTTTCCAGGATGAACAGCTGGGGTGGGTGTGGGGCAGTAGACACTGGATAGGAAATGGTCCCAGCCCCACCTCCCTCTAACCATAGTGGATGAAGTCATTACCAGGGACAACAATATTGACTTCCGGGAAGACGGACTGTATGGTTTGGCGGAGCAGCTGGTAGCCCAAAGCCTGGTCATCAGAGGGACTGATGGGCAGAGGGTCAAAGGCTCTTAGCACTTGGAACTGTACTCGGTCATCAGCCACAATGTTCTTGGCAAGTTCTAGGACCTTCAGGGTAGAAAAAAAGAGGGTCAGATTTCACATTGATCGGGTATTCAACTGCCACGTGAGTGTTTCATGGCCCTTAAAGAAGGATAAGCTTAAAGCACTTCTAGGTAAATGAAGGCACCATGAGACCATATTCTTAAGTAAAATAAAATCAGACACACATGTTTAAATGAGGAGAAGATGGGTTAAAGGGAGAGGAAGGATACAGAAACAAAACCAAGAAAGATATATTATGTATAGGCACAAATTCTCTATGATGAATGTGATCATTATGTATATCTAAAATGTCTTAATAAAATTTGAAAAAGAGAAAAAAAAATGATCCTGATTTTTCTCCAGCAAGGCAGAGCACTAGGGTTTACAGAAAGGCCCTCAACTTTAACTGACCTTGGTGATATAAGAGGTGAGCCTCTCTAGAAAGCAATGTGGTGGTGGGGGGGCTTGTCTCATAATCAGGAGTTAGGTGGCAAATTGGACAATCAGGAAATTGTGTGTCTTCCTGGGGATGAGGGTCATGTGCTGGTTGAAGGTGTCAATGGACAGTAGACCTGGAAGCTCAACCATCTCGAGGCAATGGGAGGATCCTACTTCAACCTGAGTGTCTCAGACAGGTGATGAAAGGGCCATCCCCTCTTCTTTTTCCTGCTTCCTGTTTGCAGCCAACTGTCCTAGAGGCAGGAAGATGAGCTCAGCACAGGCAAAAAGTCAGTAGTTGAGATACTGGTATTCAAGTTTTCTCTCTTTGCCTCCTTTCCTCAGGAAGGAACCTGGGGAAACTACTACAGAATTCAGCCTGAAATGGCTAGAGGGAATCTGGCAAAATCCCTGACCCCAAAAAGGACACTGATGAGACCCTGAGCCGTAAGTCACATGTGGGAATGGACCCAAATCCACGCAGCTACCCAAAGACAGGCCCAGCACCCGTCTACACCCAGATGATTGGGAGATGCTTGAAAATGTTCTCTGCAATTACTGGTCATTTTAAAGGGTGGAGTGTCCTACTGTTAGGAATACCCGAATGGGGCAGCGCCTCAAGAACACAGTGAGTCTGGAGTGGAAGTGAGGGTTCCACTGCTGGCTTAGAAACTACCATTTGAATCAAAGCAATTCTCTGTTGCAGGAGTGGTGAGGGGTCATGGAGCTTATTTTTTCTTATTTTCAGTTTAGTTTCATTCTAGCACTTATGGCTCAAACATTCTATTATGAGAATTGGTGTAGCCTATTTTTCCCCCCTTTTCAGTGCTGGAGATTGAACCTAGGTCTTGAATGTGCTAGAAAAAGGCTTTACTACTGAGTGACCCTTTTAAAATTTATTTGGAGACAAGGTATTTTGAAGTTGCCCAGGCTGGTCTTGAATGTGTGATCCACCTGCCCCAGCCTCCATGTCTGACTAATGTATGGTCTTGACATACTCTCTACCCACTGAAAAGTTCCTGAAGTGATCTTCTGTGAGGTTGGATTGCACTGCATAACTGTCCCCTACTCCAAACCATTTAGAGGTTCCTATTTCCAGAAATCAAAGAATTAGACAGGCTGACTTTCTTCAGTAAGAGGGCAGGCTTCCCACTTGCTGGTAGTGCTTCCCATTAGCTCCAGGACGTGCCTATGTTCCCAGTATCAAGCACATGAAAGGCCTACAGTAAATGTATACCTGAGACATAAAAGATGGGAACTATTAAAACAATACCAGGAGCTGTCTCTGTGACTAACCTGCCAGGGTCATGTGGGTAATTAAAACTGCTGCTCTGGGTGTTTCCCTCAGCTCACAAGGATAATGTGTCTCTGCTTCCTGAGTACAGGCAGGTGGAGGAGGTGAGAGAAGGGTCCTTCATGTCCTTCAAGTGAGAAGGATGTCCTTGCAGTATGACTTCTGAGCCCAGGTTGGAAGAAAGGCCATGAAACTAATGGCAAAGGGGCAACAGATATTCTGGGCATGGAGAGGGGTATGACAGACAGTCACTCAGAGCTGCATGACCTTGGCCAAGTCCTTGAGCTCTCTGTACCTCAGTCTGCTCATCTGTTAACATGAGGTGAGATTTTGCTGTTTATGCTGGATCCCATGGAGTACAGAATATGCAATACAAAAAAGGTCAGGAAGAGTGTTGAGTGTCATAGAAAGTCATGTCTCAGCTCAACACAAGGAAGACACTCATAACCAAGTTGCTGAAAAATGGGATGGTATATTTTAAATAACAGTTTGTCTTGGTCGTCTAGTAATAAATGGAACAGCCGGGTGGAATTTGAAGCGCTAAATTCTAAGGCCCTCCCCTCCTTTGCTTGTCTTTTTGAGACAGGGTCTCACTATGCAGTTCAGGCTGGCCTTCGTAGCCCAGGCAGGTCTCAAACTCCCAATGATCCTCCTGCCTCAACCTCCTGAGTGCTGGGATTAAGGTGTGTGCCACCATGCCCAGCCCTAACCCTTTTTTTCATGTCTATTACCTTTACCTTCAGTACATCTCCTATTCACATGAGAGGAATATCAGTACACATAAAAGTTGTGGAACAACACAGTGTTGTGGAATGTTCTAGAAGGACTGCAGATAGAGAAGAGAAAGGTTAATGTGTTCTCAAGTAATTTTGAGGTCTCCCTCATCATTGGTGAGTCCCCCTTCCTCCTTCCAGCCTTGTATTTCTGGTTATTTCTCAGGGAAGTTCCCTCTAATCTAAATAAATACTAGCTAGTTGGTTTATTGAGTGCTTGTAATGTGCCAGGCACTGGCCTAACCACTTACATATACTGACTCCAGCATGGCCAGTTATCCTAGGAAGTGGGTGCTACTCTTATCCATATGTTGAAGAAGGGGCACTAGTACTGCTCCCCCAGTGGGCACTTGCTGCTTGGATGCATTCTCAGGTCTGACTCCTCTCCTGGTCTCAATGGAAATGTCTTCTCAAAGAGAGTATCACTGACTGGTTTTGCCACAGTTTACCCCCCCCAGCCACTCTCGATGTGGTGTCTATTATTTTCTTCATGGTACTTCCTACTTAAAAATCACTTTGTTTTTTTATCTGGTCACTTGCATATTGCTGTCTCTTCCCACTAATGCATAATTGCCATCAGAATGAAAATCTTATTTCTCACTTTTACCACTATCCCAAGTGCTTAGAAGAATGCTGGTCCACAATGAGTAACCCTCAGTAGACTCTTTTTTTAAAAAAATTTTTTATTTATTTCTATTTTTATTTTTTTGGCAGAACCAAGAATTGAACTTAGGCCCTTGCGCTTGCCAGGCAAGCACTTATTCTACTGAGCCGTCTCCCCGGCCCTCAGTAGACTCTTAGTGACTAAGAAAATCTTCTCTATGATACCCTGATTGAGCCCTGTGAGGGATGAGAACTTCATTACTGCCCCAAATGGCATATTCCAGAATGTTACCTCAAGTGGAGGCCCTTTGAAACCTCATCCAGTGGCCATTTCCACTCTGGAAGACTCACTTCCACTGGTAGCCTCTTAAACTTCTGAAGTCTTGATTCCTCAGAGATCAGTGCTGGAATCTGCCTACATCTGGACCATGACAGAGGCCAGGAAAAGATGGAGAGTAGACTCTGGAGGCTGTCTGTCTTCCTGCTCCTGGATCTAGCATGGAACTCAGGGCATGTAACTCTCAGGCCATGTCCTTGCAAAATGGACTGGGGTACTTGGGAGGGGGATGACCAGGACCAGTGGGACTTGTGAGCTTCCTGATGGATGGAAGCTTTCCATTCCTCACGGGTGCAGGTGGGCAGGATGGACCTAGGAACTCAGGGGTGGGGAAGAGAGGAGGGAAGAGTGCCAGGACCTGGGGAGATGAAAGTCCTGGCTGGGTGGAAAACAGCCTTTGGGAAGGGCATGGAATTGGAACTAGGTTGGAAAAAAACTGGTGGAAAGAAGCTCAATGGGAGAATTCAGTGATTTCCTGGCCTCATGATTCCCCAGGGGGAGGACAAAGGTTGGCACTGATGAAAAGCAGCATGGGCCAGTACCTCACACTGGTTCTAGCTCCCCCTTCCTCTAATGCTGGGTGGCTCTAAGCAGGCTATAAATCTACTTGCCATCTGCAGTGAGGAATGTGGATCACTCCCTGCTCAAGGACAGATGAAATCCTTCACAGGAAGAACTCAGGAGAGAGGACCACAGGAGCCCAAATGTAGCTGACCCTCCAAGATCTTTGCCAGAGACCTGTCTCTAAGCCTGTGTATTCTGAAATGTTTAACTCATTTGATAGTTGTTGGGTTGCTATCTTGATTAAAGTTTGAAGGGGCAGGTTAGCCTTTTGAATTCTTTTTTATTTCAACCCAGTGTTTGGATAAGCTGGCATTTCATTTAGACATTAAGCAATGTTGTAACTTCTGCTAACCCTTGTGCTTTAAGCTTAAAGGTCTCTGCTTTAGGGGATCCTTGCTTGGCCCCAGAATAGGTCTTATTCCTTTTTTTTTTTTTTGTGGAACCGGGGATTGAACTCAGGCCCTTGTGCTTGCCAGGGAAGCACTTATTCCACTGAGCCATCTCCCTGGCCCCTCTTATTCCTTCTTATTATTTTCCCAAAGCACCTGGTTCCTTTCCATCATGGCACCCACCATTGACTTTGCAGGTTCCAATTACCTTAATAACACTGCACTTTGTATCTCTAGTTCGTTTCTCTCCAAACTGGAGATAGTATTTAAAATTGCCTATTAATGTGTGTGATACACTTCTCAAATTACTCAGCCATTATATTTCTCCTTGAATTTGTTCTTCTTCCCAAATTCTAATTCTTGGTCACAGGCACTGGTTCTTGGCCTGTGGTTGAAATCGTGGTGCTGTTCTGTCTTTCCCTCACTGCACATCTATACGTATCCTGAGGAACTCCTCCCTGGCCGGTGAGTTCCCTGTCTCCACCCTGGACCACGACCTCAGTACAGACTTCACATGTACTCCTTGCGCTGCTGCACCAGGTTCCTGTCTCCTACCCCAGCACTTTCTCTGAAGTGCTGCGGATGTTGTTAGCAGTAAATCTGAGTTTATGCTGGCACTGTCTGAAGAACTCTGAGAGTTCATTCCTGTTCTCAGTGTGGCATACTAGACCTTGATCCCCAAGCTATAACTCTATTTTCCTAGAATTTTTTTTTTTTTTTTTTTTTTTCTCCTAGAACCAGGAATTGAACTCAGGCCCTGGAGCTTGCCAGGGAAGCACTTATTCTACTGAGTCATCTCCCCGGCCCCTTTCCTATCAATTTTTATCTCCTGTTACTTCTCCCCAATTTCTCCTCTTTAGCCACATGAATGTCTTATTTCTACTAAGTCCTTGGTGATACTTTAACACCCAATTCACATTCCTAGGGATCAGAAGAGATTCTTTTGGCCCTTCAAGGTGGCATCAGCTCCCCTCACGGTGGCGTATGGTGATTTGCTCATCCCTGATTGCTATAATTGTGGTGTAGAGCACAGATTCAGAATCCAGAGAGCTGGATGCTCAATCATTGAACGTGCTGTTCAACTGCGCTGATGCTCTCTGCCTCTATTTTTACTGGCTGAGAGAAAGCGAGCAGAGCACTGCCTACCTCATATGATAGCTGCAAAGACGAAATGAGTAGTGTGAAATGTGTGAACATCTAGCCATGGTGCCAAGCACACAGCAAGCTCACTACGTACATGTACTACTTTTGATATCATTTATTTATTTACGTCTCCCACGTAGATACACCAAATTCCTCCAAATCAAAGATCTTATGCTAGCCGTGTAGTCATAGAATACCTTTGAGAAATACTGAATAAAGGAAAGTGGCCCAGCCCTAGGACTATAGTTCAACCCACATCCTTAGTGCCCCAACTCCTTAGTTTAAACCCATTTTCTGGAATATATGGGACGTACCTCATGGACTGTCTGTGCAGGGTGAATCCGGAAGTTGACTATGGCCTCAGCCACTGGGGGGATGACGTTCACCTAAGAAGGGAATTGGAAAGCCTAGTCTGAGCCGACCTCAGTCTCCCACACCAGATCCCTGCCCAGAAAATATGAATTACCAGTGGAAGCAAGAGCACAGGAAGCTGATGTGACTTAAGGAACCAGGGCTTATTACTCTTATTCTTTCCTTGTCATTGCTGGGCCCTTGGCCTGTAGTTATATTCAGGGTGGAAAGTTGTTACATTCTGCTAGGTGCTCTGCTTGAGCACCACCTGAGGTGGTCCCCGAGATGCTCAGAGAAATCAGCTTTATCAGTGGCAGCCTGCACATCTGTATCCTGGCCCTGCGCTGCACACTGGGAGCCTTCTGTGTGCACTTTTTGGGGGCTACCTGGATATTTCTGTTAACCTTAGTGCTTGGGTTAACGTGAGAGCAAGCAGAGCCTCCTGGGCCTCCTCAGTGCCTGCTCTGCCCTGAGGGGAGGATGGTGGTGGTGGTGGTTTCTTGCATTCATTTGCAAAATCTGACTCTTCTTTACCTTACCAGCAAGCACCTAGGACCAACTAGAGAAGACAGTTGGACTGTGGAGAGCTTTTCCTTGGGGGCTGGGAGAGAACAGCCTCCCTGACAGCATGTCTTTTTTTGGTACCAGGAATTAAACTCTGGACCTCACACTTGCTAGGCAGGCACTGTGTCCCTAGCTATCTCCCTGCCCTGCATATCTTTCTTTGAACTGGTATGGTACCAAAAAGCACTAGTCCTGGGACCTGGGCTGTTACAAACTGCCTGTGGGATTTTGAGCCTTGCAACCTCTCTGTGGCTCTGTTTTCTCAACTGGCAAGCAGGGCAAAGATCATCATATGGGCCTTAGAAGGATCAGATGCGGTTGGCAAATGTGGAGGGTGAAACCATTCTCACCCATTCTGGGGGCGAACACCATTCAAGTGCCAGGACGCAGTGCTGTTATTTTGGGGCGTGCTCGAGGCCACTGGTGAAGATAGCTCAGGTCAGGCTCCACATGGCACACGCCAATCAGCTACTCAGGGAATTAATGTGAAAACATTGCTCACTTAAACCAGTGCAGGCTCCCGACTGCCAGACCACCTCAAAGCCTCACTGTTGTTGTTGTTGTTTTGCAGTTATGGGGACTGAACCAAGGGCCTCTACCATGGAGCCATAGCCAGCTCTTATTTGTTTTGTTTTTTGAATCAGGGTCCCACTGTGTAGTCTAGGCTGGCTTTGAATTCACTACTACATAACCCATGTTGGCCTCAAACTTGCAGTGATCCTTTTGTCTCAGCCTCCCAAGTAGCTAGGATGCCAGGCATGTGCTATCATGCCCAGCCCCACAGGTCACATTGTGCTTTAGGGAAATGGTGCCCTCTCAAACCGTGGTGGTGGCACGTCCAGTTATACAAGTGATTGCATTCTCTGCAAGATGTCAGAAAGGCCTACGTTTTTGTGTGGCTAGGCTTGGTGCTTTAAAGAGAGAAACCCCTTAGTGGCCAATCCACAAAGAAGCTAATTCATTGAAAAGTAGTTCTTGGAACAAAAATTTATCAAGTATTGATCTACCTGAAATTTATTTCTAGAAAAGTAAACCTCACAGAAATTATGTTTGTTAAGACCATCCAATATTTAGTAGATTTTGGGAAATGATGAGTTTTTTTTTCCTTAGTTTTGTAAGTGGCAACTGAGTTCCTCTGCCTGCCTGCCTTCCTTCTTCTTTTCTTCTTTCTTTCTTTCCTCCTTTTTTCTTTCTTTTCTCTCTCTCTTCCTTCCTTCCTTCCTTCCTTCCTTCCTTCCTTCCTTCCTTCCTTCCTTCCTCCTTTCCTTTCTTTTTCTTTAACAGGGTCTCAGTAGGTAATTCAGACTGGCCTTGAATTCACTGTGTAGCCCAGGTTGGACTTGAACTTGCAGGAATCCTCCTGCCTCAGCTTCCTGAGTGCTGCGATTACAACTGTGCACCACCGTGCCAGGCTGGCTTCCCTTTTTCAGTTTGGGATTTTCACTGGGTAAAACACATTAATTACTCACTAACTAGTTAAGTCGGTAAATCTTTTAAAACGGGATCATCTTTTAAAAAGTTTAGAAACTTGTAGTGTAGTCTACATGACCAAAGTGTTAGGTAAATATAAAACATGGTGAGTTATAGATCACAAGAGTGAACTCCCAAATGACCCTTCTTTCACACCAGTATAAGGGTTGCTTTTGGGGAAGGTCGTAAGGACTTTGAGAGGACTGTGGGTGTCTTTCACTAAAATAAGCTCACATAAAATGTTGCCAACAATTTCAGGGAGTTAGCAGGCCTTCATCCCTGCTCTGGGTGCACACCCACCACAGGCCAGCTCAGCACTGTCCCTTCCTAGTCTTCAACCTGCAGGCAGAGAAAGGCGATAAAGCCAAAGGACAGAAGGAATGGAGATGGGAGTGAGCAATGAGAAGGGCACTGCAGAATCAGGTGACATTACCTTGATGCCGGCATGGAACATGGTGACTGCTGTGGTGGTCCTAACCAGTGCATTTGTTATGGGGTTTCTATCCATTAACCTAAAGCAAAAGGATATAAAGTCAGTCCAAAGGCCAGAAGTTCACCTACTTTCCTGAAGGTTAGAGACCTTCAAGATTGAGGGAGATGCCTTCTATCTGAATTAGATGTGGTGGACGTGCAGGGTGATTAGTCAGGCCCAGGCAGGCCAAAGAAGGAGACTGTGGTGCAGATAGGTTAGGACAGGACCAGGGGATGCAGAGGAAGGAAGATTTTACCTGCTTACGAGGGGCTGAAACAGCCACAGGTTGCTTAAGACTATGTTGGTAGGGAAGGGAAACTGAAAGAGAAAGAACAATGTCAGGCAGTTCAGCAGGACTGCAGTGGCCTTTGCCCCCAGGCTTGGGTCTCTCTACTGCCTGGGGATCCTCACTGAATTCAGTTGGTTCCACCCCTGCTAGAGGGCAAGGCAGTTTCTATCTGGTAGAGTTTAGCTGAACTGCTCAGCAACCTCAAAGCTGAGTGACTGGGAATCAGCTCTCAAAGGGTGCCTGGTTAGGCCTTAGGGTCTACAGCTAAGCTCAGCAGCCCCCGGGAACAAGTCTGATCCCTTGGGCAGGCTGAGCCATTGATGTGAAAGGTGAGATCTGGCAGAACTGGGGCCAGGCTGGCTGCTACTCTTTTGTTCCTCTTCCCAGCAGGGAAGAGCATGCTCTGCTCCTTCCCGTCTCTGCTCCTTCCCATACCTCGCCTGCCAGTTGATGCAACATTGTCTTCAACTGCCCGCTTCCAAACATGTTCGGCATTGGGGTCTGCTCCAGTCTGGAAGAGAAGCAGAGTTCTCCAGACTGAGAAGTTTTTTTTTTTTTCTAGAAGTTAATTTATTGGTGGCCGGGGTGATAGCTCAGTGGAATAAGTGCTTGCCTGGCAAGTACAAGGTCCTGAATTTGACCCCTGGTACTACCAAAATAAGAAAAAAAAGAAAAAAAAAAAAAAAAAAAAAAAGAAAGAAAATAAATTTATTTTTTTATTTGGTACAGGGTCTTGCTACATAGCTCAGACTCTTAAGTGATCCTCATGTCTCAGCCTCCCCAGCATTGGGATTACAGGCATGCACCACCATGCCCAGTTACGATGGCCTGCAGGGCATGAGGTCCAGAGTGTCAAACTTGGCTCCTTGTGCCTGACAGGCAGATGCTTAGACTGTTAAGCTATCTCCCCAGCCCCAGACTTGGAAGTTTTGACCAGCCTGGTCAGGAGCTCTGCCATTTAACTATTCTGTCCATCAAGTCCAAATTAGTCTTGCTCCCACCCTCCCTCTCCTTCTGACATCCTGTATGTCCAATCTCCTGCCTAAGCCCCCCAAATGCTTCAGCCATGCTGTCAGTGTCCTTCACCAACTCTGAGTGCCCTGAGGACAGGGTTGTTTTGTTCCTGGTCTGCCTGTCCCCTGGCACACAGCCTCGACCCTGGCAGCTGTGCATTCAGTATCTGCATGAGTAGCATGCGCCTTCCTATTCATGAAGAAAACCTAGCTACTAGTGAGCACTGCTACTATAGACCATACTGTTCGCAGCTCATAAATAACCCTTGCTTTTCTCCATCCAATGGTCTGGGCAACAGGAGAATATAATGGATGATTTAGCCATTGACAACTTTGAATGTTAACTGCTCAGCTGGACTCTGGAGCAACTGTGCACCTGGCCTAGCTCTTGTCTCCTAGCCCTGTGTGTTGCAGAAATGTACTGATCCACCCTCTGCTGATCCCGTGCTTGCTGCTGCAGGTAGTTCTGCCCCACTGGTGGGCTGGCACCATTTCTTCCCAGCCCAGTTTGGGGCAGTGACCACTGCGCCCTTAAACATGAAGGGGGACAGTGCCAGGCCTTCCATTCTGGGCCTTGCTTACCGGCTAATGGCGGCTGCCAGGATGCCGATGCTTGTCTCCTGCGGAGGAGCTGAAGAGTGGCCTGGAGTCATGTTTACTCTCAACATGAGGTCAATTGCACCCTTCTCTGAGACGGCAATCCTGTGGAAGGGGAGCAGGGATGGCTGTCCTAAACCTCTTTCTACCCTGAATCATCCCACAGGACACAAGTCCATCTGCGTGGTGCTCAGGTGGCCTAGGGGTTGGCTTCAAGATGCTTTAAAAAAAATCTACACTAGAGGAAGAAGGGAAGGGGAAGAAGGCTAACAGGGTTGACATGGAGCAGCCTCAGTGCAGCTCACAGACACCGGACCGGAGTCCTCACAGACAGGGTGGGCGGCTCCCTTCCAGGTGGGGCAGGGATGCTTTACTCACAAGGCAAAGGGCTTCTTGAGGTTGGGAATGAATCCATCCATAATGCCACTGCCCTCATCCACAACGAAAGCCACCTGGACACCTCTGGCCTGTAGCAGTGCTGCGATTTTCTGAGCCCCATTGGTCCCTGATACCTGCAGACATGACCCCAAAATCTACCTTCTTAGTTTCCTTGGGGGGTGGCGGGGGGGGGGGAAGGAGGGCTGAGACATTTCTGCCTCACAGCTTCCTGGAATGTCACAAATGAAGAAACTGGAACCCACAGAGTGAAGTGACTTGCCCAGGGTCTAAACAACTAGCTTCACTGCAGAGAAGTCACTGATCTCCCTGCTCAGTTCTCCATCACACCATTTTTTCCTCATGGTGTAGGTAACCAACCACCTGCCTGCTTCAGATATTACTAAAGAGTCTGTTAAAAATTTAGGTCTTTGCTGGGGATGGTGGCCAGCCTAGGCTACACAGTGAGACCAGGCCAGCCTGAACTACACGGTAAGATCTTGTCTCAAAATAACAAAACAACAACAAGAAAAAAATTCAGGTCTTTGGCATAATCTGAATTTTTTTTTGGTTTTTAAACAGCTCTAACATGCAGAACACACACCCAGAGAAGTTGGCAAATCACTACGCCCCTTCGTGGAGTCCCTGCTGCTGGGGGGCACACTGGACCTTGGTGAAGTGCCTGGATCCCACCCCCAACACAGGTCTCAGAGATAGTATAGTGTGGGGGGCTCTACCTCCTCATCGTGACCCAGAGCTATGAAAAAAGATCTTCGTGGGATGTAGTTTCTGCTCAGCAGGAGCTCCAGGGCTTGCAGGATCGCCTGGGGTTTAGAAAAACAATGGAAGAGGAGAGAGTGAGGTTATCTAAGTAGGATATCAGAGACATCCAGCTGTTTCCATCAGGTTAGTGGAGCTAGGATCTGATAGACTCTCTTGAAAGAGAACCATTTCAAATCCAGGGACCAGATGTGGGGAAGTAGATGTTTCATAAAACATTTGCCACCTGGAGAAAAGCACAAATTTATTACTGTTAGAGCTGAGCAGCTCCATGGGGATTTTCTACTCCAATCTCATACACATTTGAGATATCAAGGTCCAGCAAAAGGAAGCAACAAGTGATGGCTGGAACCCAGGTCTTGGAGCCAAGATTATTTCTACCATAACCTCCTTCCTCCTAGAAGTTAGCCAAACACACCCATCCTGGATTATCTCGAGGGCCCCAGGGCAGAAGAAAGAGCATTTCAGACCATCACAGAGTTCTTGTTGTCCAGCGTGCCCCGACCATGGAGGAAACCATCACGCTCCAGCCCAGAGAACGGGGGCACCTCCCAGCCTTCTTCAGGGGCAGGCACAACGTCAAAGTGAGCCAACAGCATGTAGGGCTGCAAGCTGGGGTCTGAGCCTCGCACAGTGAACAGGTGGCTGTACTTTCCCACAACTTCATGCTGGATAAAGCTGGTGCTGAACACTGTAGGAAAGACTAGAGGTGGAGAGATAAGAGTGGGAGAGAAAACTGAGTTTAATAGCTTCCTCTGGGCTTCCTACCATTTAGTGTTCTCTAGCTTTTTTTTTTTTTTTTTTTAGCATGCATTTTCCTTTAGGAAGCCTTCTGAGATGAAACTTTTGTTCTGTCTGTTCAATCTCCAGATCTTCTCTTCCTCTTATTTTATTATATATTTATTTAGAGACAGGATCTTGCTATATAGTTCAGGCTGGCCTTGAACTCACTCTGTAGCTTAGGCTGGCCTTGAATTTATGGTGATCCTCCTGCCTCCGTCTCCCGTCTCCCGAGTGCTGAGATTACAGGTGTGAACCACCATGCCTGGCCTTACTCTTTTTTAAAAAATCAACTATGTGATAAAGAATTTCTGCTTGGCCTCCCAGTTTTACGGCTGGACATTAATGCTAGATTCATCTGTCCCAGTGTTAGGGGTCGGGGCTAATTGCTGTTAGCAGGCCAGCCTCCCCCACTTCTGAAATTTCAGAGAAGCTTCTTTTTATGTACTTTAGAAGGGTGCCTCTCTGTTCTCCATGAAATTTGCACAAGGGCATGGGGGCTTCCAAGATTCCTTCCTTCTCCAACCATCCTTCCTTGTTCTGCGCTCCATGGTGGTGGGGAGGAGAGGACAGTGTGATGTCATTAACTGCCTAGAGCAGCTGTGGCAAACCTATGGCACACCTGTTATTTTTCTTTTAAGACAAAAGATGTTAATGTATTTTTTTTTTCTAAACTAAAAGCTTAGTATTCATGTTTGATTGCAATGTTGGCACTTTGTGATGAATAAGTGGGCTTTGGGTTGCAGTATGGGCACTTATCTCCAAAAGGTTTGTCATCACTGGCCTAGAGGCTAGAAAATGACTTGGTCGCCAATCTGAGCAGGCTGCCAGAGGTGGACGGGTGTTCATGATACAGTTGTGTATGTAGAGATAGTGGTGGCATAGCTTTGCATATTTGCCCAGGTAGAAGGAATTCCTAGTTGTACTTTTAATTATATTTACTGACTGAGACATATTTAAGTCAAAGATTGGAGGAGTTCAACTCCAACCTAATGGCTGTGTTCTTCAAAGGACAAATCTATAGTCCTACTCTGCCTTTACCAGTAACTGAGATTCTCCCTTTCATACCTTGCCACTATGTACTCAAAAGAAACCCCCAAGAATTACTCTGTCTTCTAATCAGTAACAAAACACACTTCTTTATCACCTTGTAAAAGGATTATGTTCCCAGTGCTATCTCTAACACCCTCTGCCCACAGTTTGCAGCTGACCTTTATGAATGTATTCTCCAAACTCAGTTAGGGCAGTGGTATTGGATTCCTCGTGGCTAAAAGACACTGTTGGAATCTGTATGGCACCTGTCAAGAGTTAAACAACCGGAGACAGAAGATTAAAGATAATACAGGTTGGGTATTCCAAATTGAAAAATCTGAAATCCAAGTCCTCTGAAATCTGAAACTTGAATCAAAAGATTTTGGATTTGGAGGCATCCCAGATTTCAGATTAGGAATGCTCAACTGGTAAAGCCAATTCAAACACTGCAAAAACTGCCACACTTTCTAGTCCCCTTCTGATAGGAAGTGCTCAATTTGTAATCCCCCCACCTCATGTCCTCTGTACATAAAAAGTTGTCTTTGCATTTATTATCTTACTGTAGAACACAAAATAATTTTGTGGAGTCATCACTGTTATTTTCCTTAATTTGGAGAAGAGGAAACCAGTCTAGAGAGGTTAGGTGTGCTGCCCAGGATCACAAAGCAATGGGCAGCAGAAGTAAGATTTAAACCCAGGTCTTCAGGACTTGTCACTAACAGAGTTCTTACAGGAAAATAAAGTCTCAGACTGGAGCGTTGGCCCTTGACTATGAGGGGAAAGTTTCTACAAAGTGCTTAATTGTTTCCCGAGGCATCACTGCGCCTCAGAAATCACCATTCCCTTTGATGAATCCCAAGCTCCACTGGCCTCAAGGACCCCACTGCCCTGGGCCCATCAGTGACCCTCGTGCACTTGTGTGTGAGGGTGGGCTTCTTCCTCATGGCCTGCTTCTTCAAGTTTCACTGACCTCAAGCATGTCAGCTTTTTGGGCAAATGATGCCTGGGATTCCACTGCTACCAAACAAGCTCTTCAGTCCTTAAATTCACTCTCCCCACCCAGCTATCTCAGTTTCTGAGTTGTCACTAAGTTCATCCCTTTAAATCCTGAAGCCTTTACAGCTTAAAAGGCACCATTATCAAATGCAAATGCCACCTGCCAGAGAAATGCAATGAGTAGTGAAAATATTTGATTAGATAGCAATCTAACAGTCCAGAAACACATTCACTGGGAACCTCTAGGGAGCAGCTCTGAAAGAGAAACTGGCTCCTGTGTTCTGTTTTGCTAAGGATCAACTCTATAAATCACAGCACACCATAAAGGTGGGGACTATGAGATCTAAAAAGACTGAACTGCTCACCCAAGTGCAGACCCAAGATCTGAATGCAGGTGTTTTACAGCTTACTAGGAATTCTACACCATGCTGCTCTATGGTCGCTATCTACGCTGTGCAAAGGGACTCTGAGTAGTTAGCTTTATACTATGCTTTGAGAAAGCCTTTCTCCATCGTCCCAGCTATCATTCCAGCACATGGGCAATCCCTTTGCAACAACAGGTGTTATGTTTCGTCCCTGCATCTCTGCCTCCACATGCTTACGTGGGCAGTTTTTCTTAATCTGCCACTTAATGAAAGGGAAAAGACTGGAGCTGAGCCTACCGGCCAGGACAAACCTCATTTCCCCATAGGATCTAACATTCAGCAGAAACTTTCCTCCTGAAAACACAAATTCACAAGATGAATGAGTTAGCCTGGTTAGGGACTTCAATTAGAAAAAAGAGATTAGGAACGTCTCACATCCCAGGAACGCTCCACACTCTTTCTTAGAACTACGTGGAGCCCAGCGAGCCCGACATTTGCTGTTGTCACCCGCGCCCACTCCTTGGTACCATAAAATACAGCAGAGAGTTAAAGGCAGTGCAAGTGCACAACTTGTAAGCGCTGTACAGCCAGGCCACGGGGGTAAAATTGGGGCTTCCAAGTCTGGGGTCAAGAGTGGGACCTGATGCAGGGTGCAAGAACTGGGCCGGGGTGGATATGTAGCCGAGCTTCAGCTTGAGTAGAGGACGCTCTGCGGAGTCTCGAGAACCGAGAAACCCACGTACGCGCTCCGGTGGGCAGGAGGGACCCAGGTTCACCTTTCAGTGCCTCTTTCATAGCAACGAGCTCCTCTTGGCTGAAGTAAGAAGGGATTCGCGATGCCTCCCGCAGCTCCCTGCCCCCTAGGTCCCTGGACTTGGAGACAGTGGCGCAAATTAGCAGTAGCACGCAAAGGTACCGCGAAGCCATGCTTTGCCCGAGTTCCCGCAGGCAGTCGCGGCTGAACTTGGACCTGGGCGCCCCATGGCCTGTTTTGCCGGGCCACGCCTCTGGTTCCTGCTGGCCAATTATCGCTTGGTTGCCGCGGCAAAGCAACCAATCAACGGGATGGCCACGCCCCACCCCCTGCAAGGATTTGTGGGAGTTGTGGTTATTTTACCTTTGACCGGGCACAGTAGAGCAAAGGCGAGGCCTCAGGGCTGGTAGGTCTTGCTACTACTGCTGTTGGATATTCTGTCTCAGAGTGGTGTAAAAGTCTTTGATGTGAAACAACAAACATAATTAAAGGGGAAAAGGATTTTATAAGATCTTAATCTGTTTGAGGGTCTTCTGATGTTTAGGGCCCTGCAGCCACTCCTTAAGTTTTCAAGGAAGTTGAGCTCTGCAGGCTCTGGGTTTGATTTGAACTGCCACAGAATTATCTTAAGTAGGAGCTGGGGAGATGACTCCATAGTGTAAGTGCAAGGGCCTGAGTTCAATCCCTGGTTCTGTCAAAAAAAGAAAAAAAATGATAATTTTATTGTGAGTCTAGCCACTTCTTTGAAATACAAGCTTGGCGGGTTTTTTTTTTTTGGTTGTTGTTGTTGTTGCTTAGGAATTTTGTTGAAAGTGGGGCTTTTTTCTTTAGTTTTTGGCAGAGCAGGGGATTGAACCTAGGCCCTTGCACATGTTAGTCCACTATTACCCTCAAACTGTATCCTTGACTCATGAAAGTGTTTTTGATATTAATGTTAACATTGCATTTAAATTTTTTAACATTCTATTTTTGATACTCCATGAAAATTACTTTAGAACTGAAAGATTTATGTTTCTATTAAAATATTTATGAAAATTTTGATGTAGTTCCCTCTTTATCTGTGAGTTGTTTCCATAATTTCATTTACCCTTGGTTACCTGTAGTCTGAAAATATTAAATAGGGGCCGGTGAGATAGCTCAGTGGGCTAAGCGCCTGCTTAGGCAAGCTCAGGGACTGGGGTTGATCCCTTGTACCACATGCTGCACCAGCCCCGTCCCCAGACGCAGCTAAGCCAGCCACTGAGACCCGGTGTGGTGGCACACGCCTGTAATCCCAGAGCTGGGGAGGCTGAAACAGGAGGATCACTATGAGTCTGAGCTGCGTAGTGAGACTTTGTACCACATCCATTTTTTTTTTT